AGAGAAACAGCCATTCTAGATATTTGTTTTTAATTTTATTTTGGTCATTAGTTTTTTAATTTATTATACAAATTATGGCAATCATTAATTAATTATGAAAATATGTTGAAACTTTTTATCTATTTCAAAAAGAAAAATAATTAAAAATGTTTTTAGCTAAAAGCTGGCAAAGGAAAATGTTCAAATTCTCTTAAATTAAAATCTATTTTTAAGACTTTTTAAATAAATACCACAACAGAAAAAAAGAAGAAAAGAAATATTCTGTTGTATCTGCTAGATAAAGATTTTCAGTTTATTTGAAATTCACAAAAATATATACACGATCACGATCACATTTAGTACAAATTTTAGCGTTAAAGCAGGCAAAACGTTGTGTTTTTTAAATAAGAAAAAAAAATAAATTTTTTTTAGAAAAATACCAGAAAAATATTTTGAAAATATTTTTGAATTTATAAAGAACAACAAACTCATTAAAAAATATTGTGCAAAATTTTGAAAAACGATTAAGAAATATTTTTCATTAATAAAAAAAATATTTAAAAATTTTTTGTTATTTGAAAATAAAAAGAATTTTAAGTGAAATTATATATAGAAGTAATGAGAATATAAATTGTTGAAGAAACTTGAAGATGATTTTTTAAGACAATATTTTGACATTGAAATTTTTTACTGAAAAACAAAAAACAATTTAAATTTAAAGCGGAAAACAAATTGTAATTGTGAGCATTTAAAGTTTTTTTAAAACAAAATAAATTAATTGTTTAAATTAAAAAAAAAATCAAACAAATATTTTAATTGTAAAAAATAGAAAAAAAGGAAAAATTCATTTCTTTAATATTTAAAAATTGTATCAAAAAGTTTTTTCTATACAAAATTTTTTTTAAAAATCAATCAGCCAAAAAACCTATACATTCTTTATAGAGAAAAAATTAATACATAAAGAAACAGATTTTCTCCCTGATTTCAAAAACGTGTGTATTTGTTGTTCATTAATGTATATGTATATACACCTCAAGAAAAAGTGCGTGTTTTTGAAACGTTTATCATTGGAAAACAAGAGAAACAACAACAACAAACATATAAATAAATAGATTTTTAACAAAATATTTTGCATAGTTTTTTTTCCTTGTTCCAAACACACAATAACAACAACAAACTGAAACTAATATAAATAAATAAAATAATATAAAAATCTATATATATTTTACTCACCATGACTACCCGTGGCATTCGACGTAAAAAATCCACTTTAACCGAATTAAAAATTGCGGTAGTTGGGGCTCCTAGTGTTGGCAAAAGCGGTAGGTATTTGCATATGAATTGTTTTCTTCCTTCTTTTTCCTCCGATTATGACTTTTTGATGGGTGTATAATAGTTGGTGAAAAGCATGTGTTTTTAATGATCTCATAAAATTAATATTTTTTCTATTATTTCTTGTGGGTATTAGGCTTTTCTTAATGTTTATTTTATCAAAATTCTTACACAAGAAAATAATGGCAAAAGAAAAAACATAAATTTTATTAATATTTATAGCGATATGATTTTTTTGACAATTCTCAGTTAAAAAGCTACCACCCACCTTTAGATGGTATTTGATTTAATAGGGGTAATCCACGAAGGATTTATAATAGGTCAGAAAAAACAACTAATTTTATATATATTAATACCAATCGGAAATCTAGTTAATCTCTAATCAATCGATAGTGTAAATATAATAAGTTACTGTTTAGTCTACATCATAGTTTATAGTTAGTCGATAGATTGTATATAGTTTCCATTATATTTAGTCGATAGTAAAGTCAAGTCGGTACTTTATAGTCTAGTATATAGTTTTTTACATAGTCTATAAAGACTAGTTTCTATTAGTCTAGTCTATAGTCTAGTCTATAGTTAGTCTATAGTCTAGTCTATAGTCTAGTCTAGTCTATAGTCTAGTCTATAGTCTAGTCTATAGTCTAGTCTATAGTCTAGTCTAGTCTATAGTCTAGTCTATAGTCTAGTCTATAGTCTAGTCTATAGTCTAGTCTATAGTCTAGTCTATAGTCTAGTCTATAGTCTAGTCTATAGTCTTGTCTATAGTCTAGTCTATAGTCTAGTCTATAGTCTAGTCTATAGTCTAGTCTATAGTCTAGTCTATAGTCTAGTCTATAGTCTAGTCTATAGTCTAGTCTATAGTCTAGTCTATAGTCTAGTCTATAGTCTAGTCTATAGTCTAGTCTATAGTCTAGTCTATAGTCTAGTCTATAGTCTAGTCTATAGTCTAGTCTATAGTCTAGTCTATAGTCTAGTCTATAGTCTAGTCTATAGTCTAGTCTATAGTCTAGTCTATAGTCTAGTCTATAGTCTAGTCTATAGTCTAGTCTATAGTCTAGTCTATAGTCTGGTCTATAGTCTAGTCTATAGTCTAGTCTATAGTCTAGTCTAGTCTATAGTCTAGTCTATAGTCTAGTCTATAGTCTAGTCTATAGTCTAGTCTATAGTCTAGTCTATAGTCTAGTCTATAGTCTAGTCTATAGTCTAGTCTATAGTCTAGTCTATAGTCTGGTCTATAGTCTAGTCTATAGTCTAGTCTATAGTCTAGTCTATAGTCTAGTCTATAGTCTAGTCTATAGTCTAGTCTATAGTCTAGTCTATAGTCTAGTCTATAGTCTAGTCTATAGTCTAGTCTATAGTCTAGTCTATAGTATAGTCTATAGTCTAGTCTATAGTCTAGTCTATAGTCTAGTCTATAGTCTAGTCTATAGTCTAGTCTATAGTCTAGTCTATAGTCTAGTCTATAGTCTAGTCTATAGTCTAGTCTATAGTCTAGTCTATAGTCTAGTCTATAGTCTAGTCTATAGTCTAGTCTATAGTCTAGTCTATAGTCTAGTCTATAGTCTAGTCTATAGTCTAGTCTATAGTCTAGTCTATAGTCTAGTCTATAGTCTAGTCTATAGTCTAGTCTATAGTCTAATCTATAGTCTAGTCTATAGTCTAATCTATAGTCTAGTCTATAGTCTAGTCTATTGTCTAGTCTATAGTCTATAGTCTAGTCTATAGTCTAGCCTATAGTCTAGTCAATAGTCTAGTCTATAGTCTAGTCTATAGTCTAGTCTATAGTCTAGTCTATAGTCTAGTCTATAGTCTTGTATATAGTCTAGTCTATAGTCTAGTCTATAGTCTAGTCTATAGTCTAGTCTATAGTCTAGTCTATAGTCTAGTCTATAGTCTAGTCTATAGTCTAGTCTATAGTCTAGTCTATAGTCTAGTCTATAGTCTAGTCTATAGTCTAGTCTATAGTCTAGTCTATAGTCTAGTCTATAGTCTAGTCTATAGTCTAGTCTATAGTCCAGTCTATAGTCTAGTCTATAGTCTAGTCTATAGTCTAGTCTATAGTCTAGTCTATAGTCTAGTCTATAGTCTAGTCTATAGTCTAGTCTATAGTCTAGGTCTATAGTCTAGTCTATAGTCTAGTTATAGTCTAGTCTATAGTCTAGTCTATAGTCTAGTCTATAGTCTAGTCTATAGTCTAGTCTATAGTCTAGTATATAGTTCTAGTCTATAGTCTAGTCCTATAGTCTAGTCTATAGTCTAGTCTATAGTCTAGTCTATCGTCTAGTCTATAGTCTAGTCTATAGTCTAGCTAGTCTAGTATAGTCTAGTCTATAGGTCTAGTCTATAGTCTAGTCTATAGTCTAGTCTATAGTCTGTCTATAGTCTAGTCTATAGTCTAGTCTATAGTCTAGTCTATAGTCTAGTCTATAGTCTAGTCTATAGTCTAGTCTATAGTCTAGTCTATAGTCTAGTTCTATAGTCTAGTCTATAGTCTAGTCTATAGTCTAGTCTATAGTCTAGTCTATAGTCTAGTCTATAGTCTAGTCTATAGTCTAGTCTATAGTCTAGTCTATAGTCTAGTCTATAGTCTAGTCTATAGTCTAGTCTATAGTCTAGTCTATAGTCTAGTCTATAGTCTAGTCTATAGTCTAGTCTATAGTCTAGTCTATAGTCTAGTCTATAGTCTAGTTATAGTCTAGTCTATAGTCTAGTCTAGTCTATAGTCTAGTCTATAGTCTAGTCTATAGTCTAGTCTATAGTCTAGTCTATAGTCTAGTCTATAGTCTAGTCTATAGTCTAGTCTATAGTCTAGTCTATAGTCTAGTCTATAGTCTAGTCTATAGTCTAGTCTATAGTCTAGTCTATAGTCTAGTCTATAGTCTAGTCTATAGTCTAGTCTATAGTCTAGTCTATAGTCTAGTCTATAGTCTAGTCTATAGTCTAGTCTATAGTCTAGTCTATAGTCTAGTCTATAGTCTAGTCTATAGTCTAGTCTATAGTCTAGTCTATAGTCTAGTCTATAGTCTAGTCTATAGTCTAGTCTATAGTCTAGTCTATAGTCTAGTCTATAGTCTAGTCTATAGTCTAGTCTATAGTCTAGTCTATAGTCTAGTCTATAGTCTAGTCTATAGTCTAGTCTATAGTCTAGTCTATAGTCTAATCTATAGTCTAGTCTATAGTCTAGTCTATAGTCTAGTCTATAGTCTAGTCTATAGTCTAGTCTATAGTCTAGCCTATAGTCTAGTCAATAGTCTAGTCTATAGTCTAGTCTATAGTCTAGTCTATAGTCTAGTCTATAGTCTAGTCTATAGTCTAGTCTATAGTCTAGTCTATAGTCCAGTCTATAGTCTAGTCTATAGTCTAGTCTATAGTCTAGTCTATAGTCTAGTCTATAGTCTAGTCTATAGTCTAGTCTATAGTCTAGTCTATAGTCTAGTCTATAGTCTAGTCTATAGTCTAGTCTATAGTCTAGTCTATAGTCTAGTCTATAGTCTAGTCTATAGTCTAGTCTATAGTCTAGTCTATAGTCTAGTCTATAGTCTAGTCTATAGTCTAGTCTATAGTCTAGTCTATAGTCTAGTCTATAGTCTAGTCTATAGTCTAGTCTATAGTCTAGTCTATAGTCTAGTCTATAGTCTAGTCTATAGTCTAGTCTATAGTCTAGTCTATAGTCTAGTCTATAGTCTAGTCTATAGTCTAGTCTATAGTCTAGTCTATAGTCTAGTCTATAGTCTAGTCTATAGTCTAGTCTATAGTCTAGTCTATAGGTCTAGTCTATAGTCTAGTCTATAGTCTAGTCTATAGTCTAGTCTATAGTCTAGTCTATAGTCTAGTCTATAGACTAGTCTATAGTCTAGTCTTATAGTTTAATCTATAGTCTATTCTATGGTTAGGTATACAAATTAATCAATAGTTTAGTCTGTAGTAGTATAGTCGACAGTTTAGTCTGAAGTCTAGATCTGGCCTTATCTATAGTTAGTCGTAGTTTAGATCTATTCTATATTCTAGTGTTTTCTATATCAATATTTTATAGACTATAGTATAGTCAATAGTCTAATAACACTATCTTATATTTTTATAGTTCTTTAACATTCTCATCTGAATCCCCTTAATTATCAAATACCTTTGCTCGTCACTATTTCTGTTTTATTTGAAAATGAGAAAAAAATGGAAAAATATTTTTAAAACACCCATAATCTTGTTCAAATCTCTGACACCTCATAATTTTTGAATATTTAAATCAAATTTAAATATTTTCTTTTGCAATTAAAACACTAGTATTAATCCGGCAACATACACACACACATATTTTTGGCGACCTCAAGGAATGGCGATCACCCTGATGATAGAAATAATGATCATGTTGATAATTAAAGTCATCATCATCAGCATCAACGTCATAAAAATAATACCAGCGCCGCCGTTGTGTGTTATTATTGTAGTGGTTGGATGTTTTGTTTTTTGTTTTTGTTGTCTGAATTTGTATAATTCCAATTCAATGTTTACAGAAAAGAAATGTGCAAAAAAAATCTGAAAACAAATTTTAATGCATGAAAATTTGTTTTATTTTATTTGTTTTTCAACCAGACAAAAATATACATATGTACGTATGTGTGTTTTTATTTTGGTGAAATTTTTTATTAGCTTGCACTTGGTCGGTATGTTGAAAATATGAAGAGGAAAAGTTGGATCAGAATTTGTCTTTTAGTTTATAACCTAGAGCATAAAAGCTTTATGACAAAGCTTAGATGACAATTTGTTTTAAACTTTAAACAATTATAAAATGTTTGCGTCCCTTACTAGAGTGCCAACAAATTACAATCAAAATTATAAAGGATTGCAATGTCATGTTAAGTGTCAGTTAAAAAACATTTTGCCCTGGAATTAAAAACAACAATGACACAAATAGTTGCATGTAATTCGCGCGTATTTGTTTTATTTTACAAGCTTTATAAATAAATATAAAATAAAATTAAAAATACATAATAAATTTGAGACGAATTTGAAACACCCCTATATACCAATCATGCCTTATGTAAGTCATGATTAGAGAGCATGCATAGCTTTTGCTATGCATATTTCCTGTAAAAGAATAAGATAGAGATTCAATTACCTTTTCCATTTTAATCTTAAATTTAAGAATAAACTAAAATTATAGCCTCTTATAAAAATAGGATCCAGTTTTTATTAGATCTATAGTAGTTTTGTGTTTTAAGCCAGTTCCTTTTTTCGTATTAGAAACATTTGTATACTTTGTTGTAGAAATTAGGGCTGATAAACACACTCATTGCTAATAAACTGCATATACATAATAACACAATATACATATACAAAAAGCAGAACATTTCGTGTTTTATTAACGGTTCATTTCAACCCTTAACATGTTGTTTTGACCACTTTTTTTTAAACTTTTCTGCTACAGACAACACAATACTCAACCTTTCTTTTATTGGAAACACGCAACATTAAGGTGCATGACATACTGTTACAGGACAATGAGTGTGTGTCTGTGCACTAAATAAATCGGCGGCGGGTGTAGATGCCGGGTGCAAAAGTTCTAAAATGAAAGAAATAAGGAGGGTGCAGAAGTGAAATTGTGTTACACATACTTTGTTGTTAAGAGTTTAATAGCCCTTTGCCTGGCAACAAAACGTGTTACTCCATAAAGAGCTTTTGGTTAGTTAATTGAAATGTGCATTATTTGAATGTACTCTTCAATAGAGGTATAATATGTTTGTCATTTGAAAGGTGACACTTTTAAAACGATCTTGTAATAGACAAACTCAGTTTCGACATACAAAAGCAATCGACTATAGTTTAGACTATAATCTCGTCAAGTCTATAACCTGAACAATAGTCTAATCTATAATATGGATTAGATATAATAGCCAAGTCTATAGTCTAGTCGATATTGTGGACTATAGTCTAGTTCACAGGCTGGAATATGTCTACAGTCTCATTTATGAACCAGTCTATAGTATACTCCATAGTCCAGATTATAGCCTACTTTACAGTCTGGACTTTATACGGAATATAATCTAGTATGTAGTCTAGCCTAGTCTATAGGCTAGTGTATAGTCTAGTCTATAGGCTAGTGTATAGTCTAGTGTATAGTCTAGTCTATAGGCTAGTGTATAGTCTAGTGTATAGTCTAGTCTATAGGCTAGTGTATAGACTAGACTATAGACTAGACTATAGACTAGACTATAGACTAGACTATAGACTAGACTATAGACTAGACTATAGACTAGACTATAGACTAGACTATAGACTAGACTATAGACTAGACTATAGACTAGACTATAGACTAGACTATAGACTAGACTATAGACTAGACTATAGACTAGACTATAGACTAGACTATAGACTAGTATATACTGTCGTATATAGTCCGAACTATAGTTTAGTGCACTCTATAGTCTGGAGTACAGTGTAGTCTATAGTCTATACTCTGGTTTTTAGTTTAGTATATTTTCTAGTCTAGAGAAGAATATTATCGTCTATAGTCTCGTCTATAGTCTAGTCTATAGTAGTAGACTATTAGTTATAGTCAAGACTCTACTCCGTTTTATAGTCTATTCTATAGTCCATTCTATAGTCTAGCCTATTTATAGTATATAATGTGGATTATATAGCGACTATACTCTAGTATATAGTCCGTACTATAGTCTAGTGCAATCTATAGTCTGGACTATAGTGAAGTCTATAGTCTGGTGTAGTGTTGGAAAGACTGCACTTATAGGTCGACCTTTATTCATACTTAGCACTTCAAAACTATAACATAATGTCTATAGAAAAGTATCTCTTTAAACCCAACAATTTGACCCCATTTTTTCTATAATAGACAAACTAAAGTTTGAATTAAAATGCTTTAACTGTAATGGTTTTTTATTAAAAGAAAAACTTTGTTAAATGCAATAAACATTAAAGGCTTTAGAACTTGTATTAAAACTTTAAACATTTTAAAAAATGTTTTTTTATTAATATATTTTTTCTCTTGTTTTCCAGCCCTTATAGTACGTTTTTTAACCAAACGTTATATTGGTGAATATGATCATCAAACAGGTGAGTGAAAAGCATTATTCATTTTTTACATTACTATTTATTTGGGGATGTCTTTTTATCCTTTTATATGAATAATTAATTTACTGTTTTTTATTTATGATTTGTTTCCTATTTTTTTATATAAAAACGCCTAATCATTGTGTTATGTGTGTGCTTAAATAGGTTTTCTTCACGCTTTTTTGCTTTTAAAACTAAAAAAAACATGAATTGGCTTTAGAAAGGGGGCAGAGTTTGTAATATGGAAAATGTCCTTGCTGTATTATATGTACTAGAGTTTGCCCAGCGGTCGAAATTCGACCGGAACCAATGCTGGAAAAATTGCATAAATATGCTAAAATAAAACTCTATTTTTGTTGTTCAAATCTGTGGTAAAAAATTAACTTTATTAATATTACCAAAGTGTATAATTTGCTTTGATTAATGTTTTCTTTTAGAAAATGTGATGGGCTTTAGTAAAAGTCAACAAAAGTATTTCAACAATTTTAAAAATAAAAAAATAACGAACATTTCTTCTATCGACTTCTTATCCCCTACATATTTACGCTACGTTCATAATGCTGGAGTACTCTACTGTACACACCATTAAAGAAATGTTAGCTGTTCAAAATACAGAGTGGAAATGTTCTAATTAATTTGTGAAAACAATAAAAATATTTAAAATAAATAATGTCTTATCTAATTATAAATAAATTTTATTTGGATGTCATTAGTAGTCCATCCATCAGGTATATGCTGTATAAATTGACCCTCGACAAAGACTTCAGCAAACCTGCATTTATTAAATTTTAATGTCTTCTAATAGAATTTAATAGTAGATATTCTATGAGGCCTTCTAATGGGCCTTCTATTACCCTTCATATAGAAGCGCATAACGATATGCATTGGCTTCAAATTACACTAATAAACTATAAATTTCAGTATTTTGTTAATATATGCAAGTTTAATAGCAAATAAATGAATAATATACGATAAATACCTAAGTACGGTTAAACACTCTTCATCCCAAAAGACATGATTTATATTTATCAGTTTCAACTTTTATCTATTTTTATATAACATATAACCATCACCTATTCAACTTACAGTCTTGACTTTACACTACTATTTCCTAATTGGTTAGAATAACCCAAAAAAAGAAGAATATCATCAAATCATCGCTGTGCTAAACCTGCATATAAGCGGTATACCTATCCATTTATTGTGGCATGACCAACTAAACTTTACTTATATTTTTTTACAGACTTTTTTTTATTACTTACTGACACTGAATTAATTCGTTAATCCATCATTTAAATCTTCCAAATCAATCAAAACTAATAATTATGTACCGCAATTTAGTATATTTTTTAACTACAACATTTTGTCGTTAAATAGTAAAAATTCTTACTTAACAATAATTGTCGTTATGTGGTATGTATTCTGAATTTTATTTCACTGACTTTTTTTCGTTAAACATAATCGAAAAGTATCGGCAGTGTAACGACCAATAAAAAGTTCACGTTTATAATTTTATACTTTACGATATCAATAATTAAAAAAATTACCGAATTCAGGCACTGATGTCCTACCAATATTTTTCCAGGTCAAACACCAATATCAGTACATTGTTTGGCATATCTTGAGGTGTCCCCAAGCATTATTTACGCATGTTTTTATATTCCCAGTTTGTTGTTTCTTCGGGAATGTCCTTCAATTTATTTTGAAAAGTTTAAATAACATAAAACCTTCAATCGAAAACTCTGAATATAAAACTGAAGTCCTAATTCTTATATTCCTTTCGATTTGGTAACAATCGTAACGATATTATAACAAAATAGATCATTATCTCATTCACAATTTAGCACTTTACACAAAAATATAAAACAATAAAATCCTATTTTCGCTTTGCCTAAGCCTGTTTACATACATTTTTGTTTACAAAAATCTTATTAAAAACAACAACAAAAACAAATATCATGCAAAATATAAAAAGAAAACAGCAACAGAGAACTTCTCTGAGAGAAGTTAAACGTTTCTGCACTCTCCTCTCTTTTTTCAATAAGCCGTGTTGTTTACTTTTTTGTTTTGTTTCTTGCTTTGTTTGTTTGTTTTTAATTTCAAGAATACGTACGTGTGACTATTGTTTCTATGTATTAGTAACAATTTTAAACGCTTATAGCTCCTAAAATTCTGAACCGATCTCATTAATATATATATTGTGCACATCTGCGAACAAATACCTTTAAAATGATATATTTTTTGCCAAGATCAGATGTATACTGTAAGAGTAAAAGGGGTCACAAAAAATCGTCTTGCCTATTAATTATATAGATGTGTATGTATTTACTTATGTTTACAGTGGGTGAGAACTTCTCACTTCTCACTGAGAAGACTAAAATTACTTTTAAAAATTAATTGTATATTTTTTGTTATATATTATTGATAAATTTTCTATAGAATAGTAAATTTTTTCTATAGAGAAGAACAATTATAAAAAATTTTCTTAAAAATGTATTAAATCGTTTTATATAATGGAAAACTGATCGTCATATTTATCTACAGAATATATAATTGATCTTCTACTTCCTAAAGAATGTATATTTGATTCTAAATTTCGTACAGAATAGAAAATTTATTGTCAATTTTCTACAAATTATAAAATTGATCGTTACTTTTCTATGGAATTGAAAATTGATCGTCAAGCTTATAAATAATTGATATTTTCTACTGAATAGTAAACTAATCGTCAGTTTTCTACACTACAATTGATAGTTACTAGAGAACTGATCATAAATTATCGACAGAAAGAAAATTGATCGTCAACTTTGTAAATTATCGACAGAATATAAAACTGATCGTCACTTTTCTGCTTAACAGAAAATTGATCGCTAAGTTTCTACAGAATAGATAATTTATCGTCAATTTTGTACAGAATATAAAATTGTACAGAATATAAAATTGATATCTGGACAAAGAACACTTTCATCATAAATTTTCTATAGAATAGAAAAATAAACAAAGAACACTTTCACATAAATTTTCTGTAGAATATAAAAATGATCTTCAGTTTTCAATAGAATAGATCGTCAATTATTTACAAATTATAAAATTTATTGTCAATTTTCTAAAGAACACTTTGATCATCAATTTTCTACAGAATAGAAAATTTATCTTCAGTTTTCAATAGAATAAAGAATTGATCGTCAATTAGAATAAATTAAACTTGATCGTTACTTTTTACGGCTCAAAAAATTGATTTTCAGTTTTCAATTGAATAGAAAACCGATGGCCTATTATCTACAGAATAGTATATAGGTCGTCAATTTGCTGCAGAATTGAAAATTGATCCTCAATTTGCTACATAATATAAAACTGATCGTCAAATTTCTACAGATAATAATATTGATCATCATTTTTCTACAAAATACAAAATCGATCTTCAATAGAATGGAAAACCGATCGTCGATTACCTACTAAAAGAAAATTGATCGTCAAGTTTCTAAAGAATGAATATTTGATCATCAATTTTCTAAGGAATATAAAATATATAACTGATCGTCACTAAGTCATATAAAATGTATCTTCAATATAAAATTGATCTTCCATTTTCTATAAATATATTATTATTGTGACCCACTGTTAACTCTTCTTTAGTCTTAACACTAACATGTTGTTTTCTATGTTTTTATGGCAAAAATAAATATAAATAAATAATAAAAAAAGTGTATATAAAAATGACTAAATAAAAAAACGGATATAAACTCCTCTAATACTTTTGTTTTTAGTTCGCATGATTGCATTAGTTTATTTTATTAAATGGCTGATTTCTTTTTTACTGCGTGTATGTATGTATAATTTTTCCACATTTTTTTCCATTTCAATATTATTTTAATAACTAAAAACAAAATAAAAATGTATTCCAGAAAATCGATATAAACATGAAGCCTTGGTCGATGGGGAGCCAGTATTATTTGAAATACTAGACACATGTCCCAAGGTAAGCAATGAGTACAAAACTCTTTCTATGTTAGTTTTTTATTTTCTACATATTCCCATCAACATTATTACTTAGTACTTACATATTTGTGTGTGGTAACGTTGGCAACTACTATGAGTTTTTTATTAAAAAAAAAAAACATACAAAACTAATAAATTTATGGTTAAAAACTTTAGAGTGGGAATTATTTGTATTATTAGGGTCATAATCGTTGAAGGTTTTGAGCAAATGGCGGCAATCAAAGGAATGATTACTAAATTACATTTTAATTACGGACTAAAAAGCATAAATTAATTGGAGTTTTTTTCCGAAAAGAAGAAATAAAAACAGGTGGTTGTAAATCAAATAAAGTTTTTTAATTATAACAAGGATTTTTAAGGTAAATTAGTTGGTTTTCTAAAGTATAATGCTTTTGAAAGGGATATAATTAAGGCACAGTTTCATAACTCACTTAGGATGGACTATCGAGAATGGATCGTGAACATTAAGGAACTCATTTGATACACACTTATAATTAATAGATTTTTCTAGCTTAACTATAGCAATAAATGTGTATATTCTTTCAAATAACTTGCAGATAAACCTTTTTTAAACTTTATATTTAAAATGGTACAAATACAACCATTAAATTCTTTCGATCCTAAAGAATCAGATGTCTTTTGAATCAGTGTTGCCAATTTAACGATTTTCTCATCAAATCAGACATTTTTGAAACGGGAATTGCGAAAAAAAGTCTATGGTATTGTCTATAGTGTATTCTATAGTCTAGTCTATAGTCTGGTGTATAGTCTAGTCTATAGTCTGGTGTATAGTCTAGTCTATAGTCTGGTGTATAGTCTAGTCTATAGTCTAGTCTATAGTCTAGTCTATAGTCTAGTCTATAGTCTAGTCTATAGTCTAGTCTATAGTCTAGTCTATAGTCTAGTCTATAGTCTAGTCTATAGTCTAGTCTATAGTCTAGTCTATAGTCTAGTATATAGTCTAGTCTATAGTCTAGTCTATAGTCTAGTCTATAGTCTAGTCTATAGTCTAGTCTATAGTCTAGTCTAGTCTAGTCTATAGTCTAGTCTATAGTCTAGTCTATAGTCTAGTCTATAGTCTAGTCTATAGTCTAGTCTATAGTCTAGTCTATAGTCTAGTCTATAGTCTAGTCTATAGTCTAGTCTATAGTCTAGTCTATAGTCTAGTCTATAGTCTAGTCTATAGTCTAGTCTATAGTCTAGTCTATAGTCTAGTATATAGTCTAGTCTATAGTCTAGTCTATAGTCTAGACTATAGTCTAGTCTATAGTCTAGTCTATAGTCTAGTCTATAGTCTAGTCTTGATCATTGGACTTTCTTTGATATTATTTTTCTCTAAAAACCGAAGACAGTTTTAATTCTTCTTCTTAACTTTTGACTTTGTATTAGGGTTCTATAGTTGAAACGAAAAGTCGACTTTTCGACTTTAAGTTAAAAGTCGACTTTTAGACTTTTAGTATTTTATAAATAGTCGACTTTTCGACTTTTCGACTTTTTCCCACTTTTCGACTTTTTGACTATTTTCAACTTCTTTCGACTTTCTTCGAATATTTTTTTACTTTTTCGTGTTTTTCCGACTATTTTAGAGTTTTTGACTTTTTTCCACTTTTTTAAAATTTTCGAATATATTTGACTTTTTTCTACTATTTTCGAGTTTTCGACTTTTTCCGACTTTCTTCGACTTTCTTCGACCTTTTTCGACTTTTATTTACAAAGTCGACTTTTCGACTTTTTTCATAGACGATAGTCGAGTTATCGACTTTTTTGGAACAAAATAGTCGACTTCGACTTTTTTCGACAAAAAGTCGATTGTTCGATTATTCGTATTACCGATTATTTCGATTATTTGTATTACCGATCTGAGTTAAGCAAATAAGAACAAATTCTAGCATGATTAAATTGTTTCCAAATCCAAGATTTCTTTGTTTGGGTTGTCAGTTTCAGAGCGGCTCATCCTTGCTAGGTGCTCTTGAAAATGTTCCTTTTTTAAGTTTTTCTATCAAACAACTAAATAATTACCACAACTTGTTAACAATTTCATTTTAATTACATTTTTATTTTAATTAAACGTCTTCCCCCTTTTTCTATCAAAAGTGCTTAAAAACTCCAACCAGCTCCTTGTATTAATAAGTCTTCCCCCTATTATCCCACTAAATACATTTTCCATCATGTGTCAAAATGTCATTTTAGTAAAGACAGTTTCATAATGGTGTGGCAACGCGCATCATCATTTATGGTTTTTAGTTACAAAACTGGGTCAACACAGTAAATGGCAGTCGGAACAGCAGCAGCAGAGGAAAAGTCCTCGAAAATAACATAAAAAAAAACAAGCAAAACACTGACGCGCCTGCAAAATTAAACCAGCAACGTCAACAACAACAATAAAAAGGACAATATGGTGTCATCGCATGTTTGTTTAAGCTTTTACTTTCATTTCAGCTGCTGCTTCCTACTCCTGCTTTCGAAAACAAAAACAAAAATCACACAAATAAATGGGGAATATGTAGAAAACATTTAAATTACTGCAACCTTGTAGTTTTTTTTCAAACGAAATATTCTAAACACTCTCTAATAATTTACTTAATTTTTATTTATTCTTCTTTTTCTACCATATCTTCTTCTTTTAATACTATATCATTGATGATGATGTCACTACCTACAGGCAGACGATGAATTTCCCAATGCCAGCGAATTAATACAATGGGCCGATGGCCTACTATTAGTTTATTCCATAACAGACCGTGGTAGTTTTAATTATATACGTCGCGCCAAAT